CCGCGAGCCGCCTCCTGCTTCCCGGCTCGGGCGCGCGGCCTGACGTCACAAAAGCCCGCCCAGCGCCTGCGCGGGCCTCAAACCCCGCCTCCACCGCATTCCCGCTGGGAAAGTACGCAAGGACGCGAAGAGGCGTGAAAAGGAGCCTGGTGCATTATCTCTGGATGCCCCCTACTGGTGAGCCTGAAAATAGGAACAAAGGGAGGAGATCAGGGGCGTGGCCGCAGGACAATGTGAATGCACTTTATGACACTGAATTGTAAATTTAAAATGGTTACAGTGGTAAATTTTATGGTGTATCTTACTACAATTTAAAAAAATGAAAGGAGGCTTTTGAGGACAATGAGTAATCCATTCTCCCCATGTGGATCGCTTGGGGTCCAAGATGTTCTTGTTTAGTGTCATTATACATAGTTTAATCTTTTAATAATTATAATATTAACTAAAACCCTTGATTTAAAAGTAATTAAACTTCACAAACTTCCGGTGTTCTGCTTTTGCTTCTTTGTGGTACAGAGGATTTTCAGACTTTTTTTTTAGTTTAGTTTAATAGTACACGTGTGTAGTACATACATAATGCTTAAATTCCTTGTGTGGAATTGGTACGTGCACATAACACATTTTAACTCCTTTTTGCATCCCCTTTCCCTCCCTCCATCTCTTGATCCCTTTTCTATTGGGGGGTACGTGTTTACATGCCTTCACCTCTTAATTCTTTATCTCCTTCCCTTCTCCTCTCCCTCCAACTCTTGATCCCCTTCCTATTTGAGAAAAATCTCCCTACTTCCTATTATCATCTTTTATTTTGCTCTTTATTTATAACTTGGGTTTTTCATATAAGAGAAACCATGCAATACTTAAGCTTGTGTGTCTGATTTACTTTACTTAACATTATACTCTCAAGATGCATCCATTTTCCTACATAAGACTTGAGTTTATCTTTATGGCAAAGTAGTTCTTCTCTATTGTTTGTAAACACCACATTTTCTTTGTCCATTCATCTGTTGATGCACATACAGGCCACTTCTAAGATTTAGCTGCTATAAACATGGGTATGCATGGATCACACCCATGATAAAATGCATTTAATATGCATTTAAGGGCTGGGGATTTAGCTCAGTGGTACCATGCCTGCCTCAAAAGCACAAGGTCCTGAGTTTGATCCCCGGTACCGGGAAAAAAATATGCATTTAACATGATGAATTTAACTCTTTTAGGAAGATACCTAGAGGGGAATCACTGGATCAAATGGAATTTCTAGTTTTAGTTTTTAAGGAATCTCCATACTGATTTCTGTAGTGGTTGTAGTAGTTTACATTCCCACCAACAGTATAGAAGGTTTCCTTCCCTTTCTCCCCCACAGCCTCTCCAGTATTTGTTATTATTTGATTTCTTGATGATGGTTATTCTTTCTGGGGTAAAATGGAATCTCAGTGTTGTTTTATTTGCAACTCTCAAATAGCCAGTGATGTTGAACATTTCTTCATGTATTTATTAGCCATTTGTTCTTCTGTGGTGTCTATTTCAGCTGACCATTTTTTGATTGGGTCTTTTAGTGGGGGGTCTAATTTTTTAAATTCTTTATGTATTTTAGATATGAGTCCTCCAGGGAATAGCTGGCAAAAATTTTTTTGCACTCTTTAGGTTATCTTTTTACTCTGTGGGTTGTTACATTTGTTATGAAGAAGCTTTTTAATGCAATATGATCCTATTTCATGATTCTCATAACTGTTTCCTGAGCAGCAGAGTTCAGAAAGTCTTTTCTTATGCCTACGATTTCAAGAGTTTTGTCTATCTTGTCTTCCAGCAGGTTAAATGTTTCAGGTTTAATTCTTTGACATTTGTGGTACAGGAGATTGAACCGAGGGCTTTCACACTGATCTACATCCCAGCCTTTTAAAATTTTGAGACAATGTCTTCCTAAGTTGCTAAAATGGCCCAGCTGGGTTCGAATTTGCAGTCCTCTTGCCTCAACCTCCCAGGATGCTGAGATGTATGGATGTGCACAACGACACCCAACCTTTATTTGTTTGGTTTTTTGTTTTGTTTTGTTTTGTTTTTTGAGACAGGGTCTCACTATGTAGTTGAGACGGATATGGAACTCACTATGTAGCCCAGGCTGGTCTCGAACTCACAGTGATCCTCCTGCCTCAGCCTCCTGAGTGTTGGGATTACAGGCATGCACCACCATGCCCAGCCGCACACCCAGCCTTTTTTTTTTTTTTTTTTGATAGTTTTTACATTACTACTTGGGAATCTAGGTTTCTATTAAAGATTTGCCATGGTAGGAAGATATCTCACTTCCTTCTAGTTTCAGACAAAATATTTCATGTCTTATTACTTCTGCCTATCAAGGAATTTGGTACGAGTAGGAAAAGAATTTCATCAATAATTGTCTCCTAAGAAATTGACAGCAGAAAGCAAGCATATAAAAAATGGATTTCTTTCATGTTGAAATCTCTGAGCCCACCCAAAGGGATTTGCAATAATAATTCTTTTTGGCAGGTACCAGGGAATGAAATATAATCACTTGTTTAAAAATCACTTCTGAGGGCCAGGGATTTAGCTCAAGGGTTCCACTGACTTCCTTGCAAGTGCAAGGTCCCAAGTTCCATCCCTGGTACCAAAATAAATCATTTTGAAGATTGACATGGTAGTACATGCCTCTAATCCCAGCACTGTGGAAGCCTGACGCACGACAGTCTAGACAACACAGTGACTTAGCAAGAACCTGTCTCAAAAAATAAAGCGCTTGGGATACATCTCGGTACAAAGGCCCTGAATTCAATCCCCAGAACTCCCTCTTCACCCCCAAATTCTTAGTACCACAAAATAAAATTAAAAATCATTTTGAAATCCTTCATAAAAATATTTATTCATAGATGTTTCTACTATCATCATTATGACTTACTATCATAATTTTCTTTAAATGTCTACTGTGTAAAAATAAGCATTCCTTTTGGTGCTCAGTAATATATTTACTATCCATTGTGTTTCAGGACAAGTTCAGGTATTTCAGGGTTTTAACTTTCGACTAACTTTATTATTAAAATGATATTTTTCAAAGAATTCTCACAAGCCTTTAATTCCCTTTATTTTTGGAATATTATATTTTTGCCACATTTATGGTTGACATTAAAAAGCTCACTTTCTTTTTTTTTACAAGCTATTTTTTCCTTTCAGTGCATAATGGATGCCTTCCTTGAGCACTGCAGAACTCAGGCTTCTGAATTATCACTATTTTTCTAGTTATGCCCTTAAAAGCAGCAAAATGGAAGAGTTCTTTATGGTGTATTTGGGACAATAACTTAAAGATTTTAAAGGTCAGGGTCTTCAGTGGAAAATTTTCTGGAAGACACAGAACCAATTTGGCAGTGAGTTAACAGGGTCCATTGAGATCAGCTGAATTTATTTTCAGGCTTGTAAAGATTTCTCACTGGTGGGAAATTGGCAGCCCTGTTTATTTGAACTCCTGCAAGACCAGACGGATTGCAGCACTGTGAGAGACACGTGCATGTACACATATTTACTTCTTCCTTTGTCTCTAAATGCTGTTGAGGCCATGAGGCATTTTAACAAGCCATTCACACAACTACACACAAAATTACCACGAAGCTAAACTGAGCTAGATAAGAAGCCTGTTATAACCAGACACAATAAAGGTCAAAGGAAAGATTTTTTTTTTGAGGTCTTGGATGTAATAGGGTTGGGCTGGGGCTGTACTTCAGCGGTAGGGCACACAATTTGCATGTGTGAGGCCATAGCTTTGATCCTCCCTACCAGGGGTTAAAAAGATAACAGAGTTAACTATGGTGTAGCTGGTAAATTAGTCTAGGCTGAGCCAGGCACTGTGGCTCATGCCTGTTATCCCAACATTTTGGGAGGCTGAAGCAGGAGGATCCCAATTTGGAGCCCAGCCTGGGTACTTTTGCGAGACTCTTTCAAAATAAAAAGGGCTGGGGCTGTAGCTCAGTGCAAAGGCCTTGGATTCAATCCCCAGGACTGCCAGAGAAATCAGGTTCCAGAGTCAGCAATGTCTTCCAGTTCCTGTGACCTGGCTCTATAGACTGAGGAAGAAGACACTAGTTTTCCAGATATTTGTGACAAGTAAATGTAGCATTGGGCACAGCTCCAGACAGATAGAAGCTACCCAGAAGGTGGTAGCTATTTTCATGCTCAGAGCTCTGGAGTCTTAAACAGAATGCAAATTTAGTGGCTCCCTTAATACAATATTCATTATGGAGCCCAGTGTGGTGGTGCATGCTTGTAATCCTAGCACTCTAGGAGACAGAGGCAGGAGGATTTCAAGTTCTAGCCCAGCCTGGACAATTTAACAACCTAGTTAGACTCTGCCTCAAATCAACCTTCACACTGAGGTACATCCCTAGACCTTTTTTATTTTTTATTCTGAGACAATGTCTCACTAAATTGCTCAGGTCAGACTTGAACTTGTGATCCTCCTAGTCTAGTGAGGAATCTCAGTGAAATACTATTAGGAAAAACAACTGAAACCAAGGGCCAGGGATTTAGCTCAGTGGTGCCATGCCTGCCTGGGAAGTGCAAGGTCCTGAGTCTGGAAAAAAAAAACCCAAAAAACTACTGAACCCAAACCTATTAAATTTCTACATCTTATTACCAGAGGAATATATAAAATGATTACAATGAAGAAGTCAGCAAAATCAAGAGGACAGTATTTACAAAGCGGCATTTAAACCAGTTGTGTTAATACACATCTGTAATCCCAGCATTCTGGGAGGCTGAGCCAGGAGGATCACAAGCTCGAGGCTAGCCTGGGTAATTTAGACTTGTCTCAAAATTTAAAAAAATACAAGATGGCTGGGGATATAACTCAGTGCAAAGGCTCCAGTTTCAACCTTTAGTACTAGGATAGGAGGGACTCTTTTATTTATTTATTTATTTTTGGGGTGGGGGTTTTGAGACAGGGTTTCACTATGTAGTTCAGACTGCTCTGGAAGTCACTGTGTAGCTCAGGCTGGTCTCGAACTCTCAGCGATCCTAGGAGGGACTCTTAAGAAAGGAAGAGCAAAGGTGGAAGAGAACACCAAAATTAAGAGACTTAAGATTTAAGAAAAGAAAGAGACAACACTTGAGAGATTTTTCTATCAAATCTAGTATATGTTGGGGCCAGGATTTAGCTCAGTGGTTTTGCCGCCTGC